CTAATATTTGCAACAATTCTGTTTGATAGAAGTATGGTGAAGCACCCCACTGGCAATTTTGCTATTTAATTTTCTAGCGAAAATAGCCGATAGAATCAAACATACAAAGTAATATTTCGAGCACAAAAGTTTCAAGAAATTGTTGCAGCAGACGAGCTTCGTTGATAAATCGATTGCTTTTCGAATAATTTAATATTAACGAGAATTCTTATTGCAAATGGTATTATTAAATAATCCCGTGGCTATTTCGTTGTAACATTTAGTAGCGGAGGTAATTAATAACGTCGAACATACGAAGTAATTTTTAAAGCACGAATTTATCGAAGAATCGTTACATCAAATATATTCTATCGATGCATTTATTATTTCTAGCTGTTTTAATAATAATTAAGAGATAGTAGGTTTTGGAAACTATTCTATTTTTTAAGCCGCGTTCGTTATATTATAATCCCCTATCGTTATTCGTATCCTAAACCGCAATCGTGATTGTATAATCGTAAATTGCGTTACGACGTTCGTCGCATTCCCTACGAGTGCGTCCTTTCGAATTAGTTCGTTTCGTTCAACCAGTGTCCTAGCCAGCGCATGACGTCAACCGACCGTTCAGCAGCCGCCGGCGACAACCGATCGTCCTAGCTAGCGTACGACGCCAGCCGATCGTCCTAGCCAGCGATCGCGACACTCACGTACGCACGCACACGTACATCGTGTGGGGTAAACGCTTGGCAGCTGCGAAACCGATCGACTACGTAATTTCGTATTTTCTTACCTAAAAATGGGGCTAGAAGCTTTATTATCATCATCGTGTCACGCTAATTGTTATCGATATTTCAGATATTAAAGGTCCTTAGTAAGAATCCAGTATTCTGTATATCTCATTTACATTACGATTTGAAAGCCACAAACGATAAAAGTGGAAATATAAATTTAACAGCAATTTAATTTATTTAAAAATAACGTTTTATATCGCATCAAGTTAAAATTTCATAAAATATTAGGATACCTGTAATTTGCAAATTTGCAATACGAATTAATTACCTCCAGTCACAAAGGTAGGCTCGGATAGGAAGAGTTTCGCAGGTTTCGGAAAGCCCTCTAAAACTGTAGGGGCAGAACTGTTTTGCTGCGAAGCGTTAACCAATCAGAGAAAAGCAGTTTCTCTACCTGCCCTCATTTTTCTAAATGCTTTACCCCCGCAAAGGTTCGTTATATGGAAGCACTATATACTGTAATTCACTATACATTCTTGTAATACATTCTTGAATTGTAATTCACTATATAATATAACTAGCACTATATAAGTAATTCTATGAGTTAACCTTTGTAAAGTGTAGTGTATGTACTTTACTAGCGGCACCCGGAGTCATTCAATAACAATGACTTATAATACTAGTGATCTTTGATAGTATATATGACCTCTAATTTAGTCGCGGATATTTATTAATTATTTAATGATAGTTAATGATAGTTAAGGTTGAAGTATGTTATATAAATATTCTGTTTTCATTATACTAGTGTATAAAGTAATAAATATAATTTATATAAATATGTCATTTTTTAAACATATTATAATTTATATAAACATATTAAATACTAAATCAAAAGGTGAATGTATGACTGTATTTTTAAGGTTTTGTTACAGTTACATATTATTGGTATAACAATATTTCAAAGAAGCATGGATCATATTATTGCACATGACATACACAAAAAACCTCACACGCAGGATATTAAAATAAAAGATGTCACATTTTTTCAAATGGGATTTTCTCAAAAGATCCTGGATGGATTATTCGGTTGTGGATTTGAGAAACCATCGCCGATACAGTTGAAGGCGATTCCATTAGGACGGTGTGGATTTGGTTGGTTTTGTGGATTTGTATTAGGGGGACCGGAAAGTAATGTCATTTCTGCATATATTTATCTGTTTGAATTTAATGTAAACAAACGACATAACTTTCCGGTCCACCTAATATTTACCATGTTTTCAATAGCTCATAAGTAATAATGTTAATCAATGGTTATAGATCTTATTATGCGTGCCAAATCGGGGACTGGTAAAACATTAGTATTTTGTGTGATAGCACTTGAGATGGTCGATGTACAAGTACCATCTGTGCAAGTATTAATGCTAGCACCAACCAGAGAAATTGCAGTTCAGATTTCAGAAGTTTGCTCATCCATAGGATGTGAAATGAATGGTAGATTTCATGGGAAAGTTGGTAAAATATTCTTATTACACTAAAGAATTGAAATATAAATACCATTTTACTGTTTCAGGCTTAAAAGTTGAAGTATTTATTGGAGGAATGGCTCTAGAAGGTGATAAAAAGAAAGTAAATGGTTGTCATATAGCTGTTGGTGCTCCGGGAAGAATTAGACATTTAATTGAGAAAGGACTGCTAATAGTTGAAAATGTTAGATTATTTATTCTAGATGAAGCTGACAAATTAATGGAAAGCAATTTTCAGAAGGACATTAAGTTAGTACAATAAAATTTATACTGTTATTATTGGAAACAAATAATCATTTATAATCTTTTAAAATTTTCAGCTTTATTTTTTCAAAATTACCATTGAGTAAACAAGTAATAGCATCGAGCGCAACTTACCCTGGTGATCTTGAAACCTTTTTATCAACATATATGTGTTCTCCAGTTTTAACATCTCCAGATAATGATGGTCCGATACTTATTGGATTAAAACAATTTGTAGCTATCGTTCCCTTTCATCCAAATGCAATGAAACAGGTTTGATTTGTTTGTGATATTTCATTAACTCCTTGCCATACTTTAACGATTCAAATTTGTGGTGAAGATTTCTAGTAACAAGCTGTTAGGTATGAGTGTTGTTCCGTTCCTTTAAGTCGAAATCAAATTCTATTCTCTTGTCACCAATATTTAAACATTCAAATAGATGTAAACAGACAATAAATATAAAATTTCTTTTTCTTAGAAGAAATTATTGCGATTGAAAAAGTTCTAATCATTGTAATTGTGAAGGAAAAAGTACGGCAAGGGGTTAAAACAAATCTATGCAGAATATATATGTATTTCTGTTATTTCAAATAACTTTTAAACAGTAGATCATAAAAAATATTGAAGTTGTTTAAAAATCGCTATGCATTTGTTAACGTACGTTACAAAATTTTCAACTTGTATCGTCGTTCGTGTCATATACTCTTTAAATGTTTTTTTAAATGGCGGAAATTTTAAATATCCTGTACATAATTATTTTGCTATACGATACTCATATCCACTTTGTATATTAGGTCCAAATAAAAGTAGATCAACTGATAAAAATATTTAATAAAGTTCAGTTCAAACAAAGCCTGGTCTTTTCGAATTATCAATCAAGGTGAGTATTGTATCTTAATAATTCTTGTTATGCTCAGATAAGAAATAACGTTTTATATTTGAGATAAAATTTCTCTTCTCGTTTCAGAGCACAATCTGTATGCAACAAAATTAATTCTATGGGTTTCACGGCGACTTATATTGTCGGGAATCAAGACATGAAGAAAAGACTTGAAGCAATCAATAAATTAAAAACATTTAAATGTAGGATAATGCTAACGACAGATTTAACTGCAAGAGGTATAGATGCAGACAATGTCAATTTAGTCGTTAACTTCGATTCGCCTACAGATCCAGCGACATATTTGCACAGAATAGGAAGAGCTGGTCGTTATGGATCGTATGGTATTTCAATCACAATAATTGCAGACAACGAACTTGAAACATTCGCACAATTATTAGGCTCAGTTGGTGGCTCAAACTTTTATGTACTTAAACTCCCTACAAATCCAGATAATATTTGGACTATTCCTGTTAGCAAACTCGAAAAAGTTTTTGCAAAATCTGAAGCTAAAGGAAGTGCATTAAGATCTGATATATCTACCGCAAGAGAGTGTAAATGATTCAAGTACAATAGATGATAGAATTCGGTTAGAAAATGATAAAAATTTAAACAGTGATGAAGATTTTGGAAACGAAGACAACGTAATTACGAATAATGCACAGTCCACAAACAATGTAGAAGGCACTGTAATTAAAAATACTAGAAATATCCATAAAAGAAATAAATTTAAAGCGAGGTACTCATGTTTGGAAAATAGTGATGATAAAAGTGAGAAGGGAAAAGAAATAGAAGTCAAATGTTATAGTACACTGCAACCGAAGGTTATACATAAATTTAAATTAGACCCTGTTCCAGACAGTCCTTCTGATTGGGAAAAAGCTAATGAGGAAACGGAGTTTGAAGTTGACTTGACGGACGTGCGACAGGCTGATCTATCCGATACTGATATTGAAAACATTATTGAACGTTTAAGATATAATTTTCCTAGCAAAAAATTGGATGAAGAATCTACTATAGATATTACTACAAATACAGAGTCACCGACAACGGATCCAGATCATCAAGATCATCAGAATGAAATAATCAATTCTTTTTGTTATTTCAGTATGACAGATTTCAGTAAAAACTACATTGACGAAAAACCTGAGGAAATGCAAATAAAACAGGCAACCGCGTGGAAACAAAAATTGAATCTTGAAATTGGATTATTAAATTACATATTGGAAACTATGACAGAATCTATACAACGATTGCTATACTTTGAGCATATTAAGAAGCTCAAAACATTTTTTAATGTACAGAAACAAGCAGTTTTGTGCATTTATCCAGAAATACGGAATGAAGAGGAAGTCAACGATACCTATCTGTATTCTCTCTCTTCTGGCTCATTGCATACGGATTTATTGCAGCTATATAGAGAAATAGAAGATTTCAAAACATTCCATAGAAAATCTGACAAAGAGTTTTATGCATATTTTCCATACCCTGTTAAAGAAGACGAATATATGCCGAATCTCATGATTTCAAAGTCCGATATAGACGATTATCGCAACGCATTGCGATATTTCAGGTCGAACCCTTATCCCGGCGAAAAATTATTAGAAATAATAGATTTTATAGCGTCCATAAGCGAAGCTATGCAATATAACATCCTTCAAAAATTACAAGTTGTAAAAGAAAAATCGTTTGATGAATTATTAATAATACTACGAAATGAAGCAGCAAACGATGAATTGAATGAAGACGAATGTGTAGAAAATGAAATCGATGAGTCAGAAGAAACTGAACAAGAATATACAACTGTGGACCAAGAAGAGTTACAACATATAGAAAATTTAAATGATCTAAAAACCGACACCACATATTATCATTCACCGAATAAAGATATTAACGAAGACAAAATTAATATTGAACAATTTTTAACATCATTAAGAGCTGATACAGACCGTTTACATATGGAATTGTATAAATCGCAGATACTATGGGATATGGGATATCGGATATGGGATATGGGATTTGAGATATGGAGTATGGGATATGGGATATGG